CGGGGAGAGCCGCTCCACGATTCCGGCCCCGGGAAGGGGGCGCGCCCAGCCTCGGACGCCCCCGGCCCGCACACAGGAGCCGCGCAGCAGGTAACCGGGCGCCCGCCGTGAGTCTGGTTAGGCTAGCGCGCGGGACAAGGGTGCTGCGCTGGGGGCGCACCCGCCCTTCGCAGGCCTCGGGCCCAGCCTGGCCCTGGGGTCGTCATCGAGCCGCTCCGACCATAGTCGGGCCGAGCTGCCCAGGGCCTGGCTCTTCCTCCGGGGCCAGGCCGGGCCGGGCTCCAGCCCCACCAGGCGCACGCCCCTGGGCCGGCGGGAGAGGGCCAAGCCTAGCCCAGGCCGGCCGCTCTGACTCATCTCCCGGCTGTGCTCCCGCCCCCAGAGCCAGCAGCTCCACTGGTCAGCCCGGAGGGCGGACGTCTCCAGGCGGGACTTCCCCGGCTCAGCCTCCCGAGAGGCAGGGAGCCAAGCCTGGGCTGACCAGGCGGCCCCAGACAGTGCCTGCGTCTCTCGTGCCAGGCAAGCAATTCCAGGGACAGAGAGTTCTCTGCCGCCGCCTGCCTGGGCTCCGGCGACAGGACTCTGCAGGAGGAAGGTCCATTTTGTTCAGTTCTTCAAAAACCCAAACAAACTGGCAGGGGGGTGGAGTCTGTGGTTTAGAGCAGAGAGCTAGGGCCAGTACGCCTTTGGTAAAAATCTCTACTGCTTCAGCCTCCGGGTGAAAGGACAGGGAAGTTGGTTGGCACCTAGAGGCTTTGCAGGTCCCCTGAGGAGATGTAGTGTGAAAATGTCACGTGGGAAAGAAACACCCACGATCTGGGTTGAGGCTAAAGATTGGAGGATGGATCCGCGAGCCTGTGATACGCATGTGATAGATAGGGAGAGGTGGGTTAGACGAGTGGAGAAAAGGACTCCAAGTGGGAGGGATTTGCCTCCTCCACCCAGCGCTTTCATTTGATGTTTTCTGATTGTTTGGGAGGGAGGGGGAGAGTCAGGGGTGTCTTTTCTGACGTGCAAAACATTTGAGCTGCTTGTCTTCCTCCCTTTTGCAAAACCCTGGGAGAAAGACTCCAAGGTTTCTCCTCGGGGGTGGAGGCGGGTGCTGACAGTTCACACACACACACACTTTTCCAGAATCTTTAAAAGAGTGCTTTGTTTCTGCCCCAGGGGAAGGCGGCACCCGCTTCACCCCTTCAGCCAGGCTAGGGTTAGGAGGAAGAGTGCTAGGTGGACATCTGGAGGTGATTTTATTTGGGGGAGGACATGAGGAAAGGTGGTAATGGGAGTAGGAGACTTGCAGGGGAGACAGATATGCTGCAAATGTAAAGGTTGGCGGTTTGAACCTATATAAAGTGACTCTGAAGGGAAAAGGCCTGACAGTTGGCTCCCCAAAAAAAAAAAAAAAACCATGGGGAGCAGTTCCACGCCATCACATGGGGTTGCTACGAGTTGGAGTTAAGTCAGCAGTGCCTACCAAGAACAGTAGTGGGGGTGCAATCACCGTATAAGGAATGGAATATAGAAATCCAAGGCCAGTTGCCGGAGGCAGCTATGACCAATTGTATCCCATGCCTTTCCCAACACTATGTGGACCCAGGGAAGGAAACCAGGTGGGCATCATCCCTGGGAAGGTATCTATAAGACCAGGACATGAGGTGGCTTGTTTCTCAGAAGAAAACTTTCTAGAATTCTCCAGCTGGACTAACCAGACCTTCTGGTTTTCATAGTCTAGGTTGGGAAGCATTAGTCTGTGCCTACCACACAGCCCAGAGGGCTAGACATTTAAATAGCGACCAGTAAAATCAGAAGTGATGTGTAAAGTCCCAAATACCAAGGACTTGAGCTCGGGGTCTGAGCTACAATCACGACCAGGTGATACAATAAGGACAGAGAACAGCACTAAAAGCAGATTGCGGACCTTTGCAATGTGAGACTGTGAATTTAGATTTCACGAGCTGGAAGACTTCTTCGCAAACCTCCCACGTGTCCAGAGAACGCTACCTTCTGCCAGGTCTGTTCATTCTGGCCTCCTGCATGACCTCATTTTTAATTTCATTTCTCCTCAATCATTGGTGATGGGCAGGCGGCCGGAACTGACTGTGATTCACACTCTCCACCCTCCCCACCCCACACCCCCCCACACCCCCCGCTGATTAAGTTTATCAGCAAATGTTTGTCGGATAATTACTCTGTACACAGCCTGTGCTGGGGATGTGAAAGATGCTGGTTAGAGATGGCCAACACATTCTTCAAACAACTTGACAACTTTATGGTGGTATGGAAGGACCCAGGCGCTGTGGCCTGTCAGATCCGAACAACACTCGGGCTCTGTCACTGACTCATCTCTGAGTCTCAGGCTCCTGCTTGTAAAATGGGAGGGATGGTACTCACCTCACTTGTGGGGCCTGGGGGTGGAGCATGGTCCCTAGTAGGCACTTAGCAAAGCATTTTATCATCATCATCACCCCATCAAGATGTACAGATCCTGCAGGTTGATCCACAGGCACCATCAGAGTGCAGAAAGGTTTGACATCCAGGGTGTAGTTGGAACATACTTGCATTCCAGAATGTAGGCAGGTTACCAGCAGAAGCTTGCAGAAGCCTTTTACGGGCCAAGTGGTGTAGCCCGTAGGGAGGTGTGCTGCAAACCCAGAGGATAACCTCTCCAGCAGTTCAAATCCACTGACCAATGCTCAGAAGAAAGGTGGGCACTTTTCTCCCTTGCAGTTTGCAGCCTCAGAAACCCCATGGAGTGTCAGCTTTGAGTGGGGTCTGACACAGTGGCAATGGGTTTGAAGGTTTGGTCAAGACCTCGAGCCAGTGCGTTTAGATACCCAGAAAGGAAAGGAGGGTGTAGACCATGGGAGGGAAGTGGCCTGAGTGGACACAGTTGCAGCTGGGGGAGGGGTCCATGCAGTGAGAGGGCTGTACTGCCAGGCCCACACAGGGTGGCACCCACCGAGTCCCTCACTGAACATGCACTGAGTGTCTGCCAAGTGCCAAAGATGCAGAGCCAAAGGGGGGAAACTCAGTGCCAAGGAGGACAAAGACAAGTAAACAAAAAATTATTACAAAACTTGCGGAAAACGCCACGGATGTTAACTCACATCCAGGCAGTCTTTAGCTCACGTGGCGATCCCATGCACAATAGAGTGAAATGCTGCCGCGATTGCTTGTGGACTGGATCATGTCGTGATCCGTAGGGTTTTCACAGTCTGGTTTTTGGAAGCAGCTTGCCATGCCTTTCTTCCTAGTCTTAGTGTTGATATTCCCCTGAAATTGGTACAGCATCACAGCAACATCCAAACTTCCAGTGGCATTAGCGAGATGCCTGGGAATCGAATCCAGGTCCCTTACATGGACGGGGGCAAGAATTCTATAACTGTCCTCAGGAGAGGTTCTACCGTGCTAGGCAAGCATCAAGGAGGGCAGGGAAGTCAGATAACAGCAAGTGGGTGGTGCTGAAGAAGGCTTCATAAACGTCCGTGTTACATGTCACACCCCCAGCTCCAGAGCTCTTTGGTGGAGTGAAAAGGGGGTACTCTCTCTGCTGCAAGGCTCTCTCTCGCCTCCAGGAAGGAGCCCCACGTCTCACATGTGGCTCTCTTTTCTCTCCCCAGACTTCAGTGGAAGGAGCCACCTGGCACCTCACCATGTCTCGCCGAAGCCAACGCCTCTCACGCTACTCCCAGGGGGATGATGATGGGGGCAGCAGCAGCAGCGGGGGGAGCTCTGTGATGGGGAGCCAGAGCACCCTATTTAAAGACAGTCCTCTCAGGTATGAGACCCTCAAGTGGCCCTGGTAGATGGCAATTGCTCAGAGCGTAAATGCCATACAGCCTCACTGGATGGCTTCTTCCTGTCCCAGCTGCTTGTGGGCTGCGCATGCCTGGTCAGGGCACCCTCCTCTATTCAACCTGCCAGCGTTTCAGGGCCCAGCTGGTTTCTTCTTGTTGTCAGCTAGGCCTGCCCTCCTGTGCAAGAACAGGAAGTGGGGAGTGGCAGGCAGGAAACCTCAGAAGCTGGCTGGGCTCAGGTACCCCATCTGCTGTGGGTGGGTGTGCCCGCTTTACCATCTGGAAACCTCAGCTTGCATGTGTCACTGGCTGAGAAGAGGCTCAAGACTGGGACCTGGGCAGTGCAGGCCAGGATGGGCACCCACCCCCTCCTTATCCTGTGCCCTGACCGACTTGGGGCACGGTTAACAGCCTGTGGCTTTTCTAGCTGTTGCAAATCAGGACTCTCTGGGTCTTCAGTGCTGTAGACATTACAGCAAGGTGGCAGGGGGCTGGCCCCCTTGAAATTAGATATCCCTGGGTTCGACTCCTGGCCACATCTTTTACCACTAATCATGCCTTGTTGCTTATGAGATTTAGAGGACTGTACCAGAAAAGCATCAGAAGTACCTCAGTTAGCTGACAATTAGGAATGGATGGTGGATGGCTGCCAGGCAACAAGACTCACAGTGCTTTATCTGAAAACTTTAGCAACTTTTCCTTAGGGTCCTGAACCCGTGTCATTAGTAATTCGTGGTGACACCCCCGTGGTGTGCGGCACAGGCTAGGTAGGCCCGCCTAGCCGCGAGCACCCAGAGCTAACTGAACCTGGTGGCCACGCCCCCGGACACCATAGAGCTCGCCATAGCTCCTCCCCCCTCCCATTGGCCAATCGGAGAGCCCTCTCAAGGGGAGGGGAATGAGTTAGAGCACTGAGTGACAGATGACGGAAACTCTAATGACACCACTGCCTCGGTGGGCCCTCCCCCCTGCAACACCACCCTGTGGACCCTTGGTCTCTTCCCACCTGACTGTAAAGAGGGGTGTGGATGTCCCCTTGTGGCACCCCTTGCCTGGCCCCTCCCCTGCTTCACGGTGGCCCTCCCACAGGACCCTGAAGAGGAAATCCAGCACCACCACCAAGCGCCTGTCCCCAGCACGGCAGCTGGCCCCCTCCTCCGACACACACACCTCGTACTACAGCGAGTCCATGGTCAGGGAGTCGTACATAGGCAGCCCGCGGGCCGCCTCGCTGGCCAGGAGCGCCCTGCTGGACCGCAGCTCCATCCTCGACGACCAGCTGCACAGCGATTCCTACTGGAGTGAGTGTCCCCCGAATTTCTCCCAGGGCACTGCTTCCTTTAACCTTGGGTAGTACAGTTGGCTCTCCCACTAACCAAAAGGTTGGTGGCTCAAACCCACCCAGCAGCACTGTGAAAAACAGAATACAGCCCTTATGATTACTGTCCATAAATGTTATACCTGAAAAAGTCTATATAGGAATCTGCATTCTATTCTAACACATGGCTACATGCTTTAAGTTGCAGTTGACTTGATGGCAATGGCCTTGGTTTGAGTTTGTCTCCTCTGGGAGCCAGTGGCTCACAATTTCCCACTGGGGTCAGAGGAGGGGGTCCAACTTGGGAGCCCCAGTTGGACCCCCTTTAAAGAGTGAGTTCGCTTACTTCCCAGGCCCCCTTACACACCTGGCTGCTCTACTGTGGAGGCAGAAGACAGGGCCGGGCCCCCCTCACCCTCAATGGTCTGCCTTCCAAGTGTCCCTGGGGGGCCTCTGCACCAGGCCCGCTTTACAGGGGCTGTTCTGTCCCCAGGTGAGGACCTGCGGGTGAGGAGGAGGAGAGGCACCGGAGGCACGGAGAGCAGCAAGGTCAACGGACTCGGGGAGAACAAAAGCTCCGAGGACTTCCTTGCGTCCTCCTCCGGCTACTCATCCGAGGATGACTACATAGGTAGGTATACAGGCTATTCCCCAGGGCGAGCCCCCACCCCCCCGGACTCCAGGACTGCTGGGAAGTCATGGGACGCCTGGGAAGGAGCATGGGGCAGCCAGAGAGAGCATGGGGTCTGGTGAGCACCTCACAGACTGGCTGGGGCCTCCCTCCTGCGCCCACCAAGGTGCCCTGAGCTGAGGCAAGCGTGGTCCTAAGCACTGTTCTGTGACTGTCCAGTCCTTCTCTCTCTCCCTCCCTCCCTCCCCACCCTCTCTCTCTCTCTCACACACACCCTCAGGCCCACATAGTTGTGTGATAGCTCATTTCAACATGATGCCTCATATATAGATAGTCCTTCTCTATCTCCCGCACACCCTCCCCCCACCTCAGGTCCACATAGCCATGTGGTTGCTTACTTCAACATGGTGCCTCATATATAGACCTTATCTATCTATCTCTATCTGCCCCCCACCCCTGCTCTCTCTTCTCTCTCTCTCACACATACCCTCAGGTTCACATAGTCATGTGGTAGCTCACTTCAACATGGTGCCTCATATATAGACCTTATCTATCTATCTCTATCTGCCCCCCACCCCTGCTCTCTCTTCTCTCTCTCTCACACATACCCTCAGGTTCACATAGTCATGTGGTAGCTCACTTCAACATGGTGCCTCATGTATAGTAAGCACCCAGTGATTGTTTGTTAAGTGAGTGAACGACTGCTTAGCCCAGTTCTGGACGATGGCTTTGAGTTGTAGGTGAGAAGAGGTGTGCAAGGGGCTCTCTTGTTGTTCGTTATGACTGGTAGTGACGTCGTGGACAGCAGAGTGGAACACTGCTTGTCCCGCACCGTCCTCGCAGTCACCGCTGTGTCTGAGCCCACTGTGGCGGTCACTGTGTCAATCTCCATTCAATGTCCTCTTCCTTTTCGCTGACCCTGTACTTCACTGGGTGCAGTGTCCTTCCCAGGGACTGGTCTTTCCTGATAACATGACCAGAGTATATGAGATGAAGCCATAGTGGAATGTCAGATGCTGAGAACCTATTTCCTTACCCCACAAACCCTCCCTGACGTGCTCTGCTCAGGCCTGTGGGAGACCTTAGGGATGGGCGAGGATGGTCATCTGGGTCCCAGTTGAAACTGAAAGCAGAATTTGAGTATCGTAATCTCCTTACATTGGGTGTCCATAAAGTAAGGGCCGACTGAGGAGACCCCCACTCCACATGCCTGCAGGTTACTCAGCAGAGCAGGGCCAGCGAAGTTCAGGTTCTCGGCTAAGAAACGCCGCCTCCCGGACGGGCTCTTTCCTCTGGATGCTGGTCACTTTTCCAGGTGGGTGCCCGCTCTTGGGTTGTTTTCCAGGAGGGAGGACTAGGAGATTTGATGGGGCTCCCAGAGTCACTGATGACCAAGTGAAGACCTTGTCTGCAGTGGGAGGGGCAGCTGCAGAGGAGAACAGAGGACGAGGGCAGTGGGCTCCGAGGACTGGGCACCACTGGACAAGACAGGTGCTGGCAGGCTGGTGTTGGGGTTGAGGCGAGGAGGCCCCAGGAAGGGGCTGAGGTACCTTGTCCCTTTCTAGGCAGGCTCTTCGGACTGCTCTACTGGTGGCTTGGCACCACCTGGTACCGCCTGACCACGGCTGCCTCCCTTCTAGACGTCTTCGTTTTAACCAGGTGAGTTAGGTTCCAGATGGACAAAGAGCCTTGAATGCTCAAGACAGAGCAGACATGGGTGCACACTGCACAGATAGGTCTTTGACTTGGAGGTCGGCCCCAGATGACAAGACAATGATTAGTGGAGGTCCCGGGCTATGCTCCTTGGCAGAACAGAGTCAGGGTCGCTTCACCTTCTCTGAATGTCTTGTAGCACGATTCCGGCCCGAGTGCTTTCTCCTGGGGCACTTCCTCCTGCCCAGCCACTTCCTCTTTCTCTGAGGAACAGGAGGCCTTGGGTTCCAGCTGAGAAGTGGGGCTCCTTGAACATTAATCTCCCCCTAATCTGTGGCCCTGGGCTCTCAGAGTCAGGTGGTGCAGCCTGAGGCTGCAGGGGGGCTCTTCCATCCTTGTAGGTCAGTGTGTTTGGGAGCCTGCTGCCCTGGAAACAAGATCAAGGCCCGAGTCAGGAAGTTAGGGTGAACACTGGCTCTGCCGAAAAAGAGGCACAAGATCTCTTTTGTATCACTCTTTTTAAAAGTCCTATTTTTCCAAAAGAGAAAATATTAAAATTTAGGCATTTTAAAAATAGATTTGCTTACTTTCATTAAAAACAAAAAAGGAAGAAGAAACAATACAAAAAACAAAAAACAAAAGCCCAATCTAGGGAGCTCTGGTGGCCTAGTGGCAAGAAGCTGCACTACAATCCCCTAAGGTGTACAGTTCAAATCCACAGATGCTCCTAGAGAACGCGGTCAATCTCTCCCTGTGCCTGTCGGATCCGACTGAACGGTACACAACTTTAACAATAACAAAACACAATGGAGCCAGCTGATGCCAGCTCACGTGTGCCGGCATAGAACTGTGCTCCATAGGGTTTTCAGGGGCTGATTATCTGGAAATAGACTTCCAGGCTTTTCTTCCAGTGCACATCTGGGGGGTGGCGAATTTGATTCTCCATCTTTTAATATCTGAGCACATTAGCATTTGTCCCTTTAGGGGACAAATATTGGCTTTCGTAGAGGACTTCCATATATGATAATAGGAAGTTCTATAGCCTAGTGATAAGGAGTTGCATTGTGAAACTAAAGGCACGTGGTTCGAATCCACCAATTGTTCTGCAGGAGAGATGAGCGGTCTCCTCCCCTGCAACTTACAGCCTCTGAAAACTCGATGGAAGTCAGCTATGAGTTGGTTCTGACTTGATGGCACATAATGAAAATGACAACAGATGTGAAAATGGGAGAGTTTTCAAAGATCAGTTTTTTAAAACTACGAAATACTTCACAAATTTGCATGTCATCCTTGGGCACAGGAGCTGTGCTCATCTCAGTATTGTTCCAAGTTTTAGTATATGTGCCGCCAAGGCAAGCCCACGATCATGTTCTTCTTAATAACATTTTAAATTCAGGATCAAGAGTGTCCCCTTATGTCGCTGGTGTCCACTCAGGATACCAGGGATAATGGGTGTCCCCCTTCAACTCTAATTCATCCTGAAGAGAAAAATCCCAGGAGACCCCTGGGTGGGGACAGGTGTCGGCCTGGAGCCTCCTCTCACACTCTTCCCTGCCCCTCCCTCCCGTGTGGTCCAGGCGTGCCTCCTCCCTGAAGGCGTTCCTCTGGTTCCTTCTGCTGCTGCTGTTTCTCACCTGCCTGACTTACGGTGAGCTTCCCTTTGGCTTCCTGTAGTGGGTGGTGGGGCCTGGGATGTGGGTGAGGCCAGTGCTGCCCCTGAGCATGATGGAGAAAGAGCTGATGCGGCAGGCGGAGCCCACAGAGTTGGCCATTCCTGCCTCGGCCTTCCTGCTGGCAGCTGCGTGGTCTCAGGTGCCCGGGAGGAGGGGATACAGCCTGGGGCTCCCTTCTTGTCCTTGACGTGGGGATTCCACTGCTACAGGACCCGTTAGTTCATCTTCTGTGCCTCTCAGGCAGACACATGTCCCAGGACAGGTGGGATCAGGAGAAAGCGTACATGTTTATAGTCAGTGAACCTCCACTCCAAAGCTGGGCATTGGCCATGGGAGAGCAAGCGAACTCCTCAGCTGTCTTTAGGATAAAGTATAAAGTGAGGAAGAGAAAGAAACGCAATCTCATTGGTGTTGAATCCGTTTGAACTCATAGCCACCCCACAGGACAGAGTGGGATGTGCAGAGGTTCCCAGGACTCCTTACTTATAACGGAACCTTTTCCTCTGCTGCACGGCTCGTGTGTCCAAACCTCTGAACTGTATGTAGGTCAGAAGCTGGACACTTAACCACGGTACCAGCAGGTCTCCTTAAAGAAGAGGAAGCACCCCAATCACCCCTCTTTTATTTTAGGAAAATATCACTCATTTAAAGATCCTCCTCCCATCTCTACCGTTGGGCTTTCAGAATTCTTACACAATAGTAAACATCATGGTGATATTTCCTATTTGACTTTCCCTTGATAATGTCACGTGAGTTTTCTGCTCTGTCTCTGGGCCACGTGCTCTACCGAGGAAGAATAAGAGAATGGACTGTTTTTCAGTGAGCTGACAGGCTTGTGCCTATGTGATGATGGCTTTTATTAACAACAAAGCAGAGCATTTTTCCCAAGTGTTGGTTTCCGTTTTGTGTTTCCTGTTATGAAAACAGCTTGGACTTGTCCAGTGGAAACTGGGCATCCCCCTTAAAATAATCACCGTTCTTTATCATGTACCATTCATCGTTTCATTCAAAGTCACATGGGGATTACTAACCAAAAAGGTCAAGGGTTCGAATCCACCAGATCCTTCTTGGGAGACAGATGGGCAGTCTTGTCAAGATTTAACACCTAAAAAAAAAAAAAAAAGATTTATGACCTTAAAAACTGAGTCAGAATGGATTCAGTGGAAGAAAGAGAGAGAGAGAGTGAGAGTGTGTGTGTGTGTGTGTGTGTGTGTGTGTGTGTAAAAGTCAAGGGTCAGAAGAGGAAAGGAAGACCTTCTAAGGGATGAATTGACACCCTGACTGTAGGCTGCAACAATGGCCTTCAGCAGAGGGGAGATTGTGAGGCACCCCCAGACCTGGCAGGGTTTCAGTCTTTGATGTGGACCCTCTGAGTGGACTTGCTGGTACCTGACAACATATATAATTACAGTGTTTTGTTCACAACTGGCTTTCACTTGCCTTATCTCAGCTTAAGGTGTGTGAGAGATATGTATCAGTCAGGAGGGAGCTTCTAACATTCCAGGGGCCCCACCCTCTAGAGGTGGGTTTGTCAGAGCTCCCAGGTGACTCTGATGGGCTGCCATGGTTGAATCTTTCACCACAGCCCGGGGGGGTTAACGCTGATGTCCTTGTCACATCCCATGGCCATACATTTGAGTCCAAGGGACCAGCTGCAGGTACTTCATGCCCAACTTACAACTCAGGTGTCTCTGTTGTATCTGCTTCTGGCTTGTGGATAAGAACCAGGTCTCTCTCTCTCTTAACTATCAATGAGGGAAAGGCTTTATGTTCTAGTCACCTTGAGATGTCACAAAGTGACGGGAAAGCTATGTGTGACCATGGAGACCCCTCACCAGAGGACTTTTCCAGTCTGTGAGTCTGTCTATCTCCTGCTCCCCTGACAGAGCTCAGGAGTAAACACATCAAACCACAAACACCCACAGCCGTCAGGTGGATCCCCAATCATATCTACCCTGCAGGACACTCTAAACTCACCCCATAGGGTTTCCAAGGCCATATGGAATCTTTCCCATGACTGGCTAGTGGATTCAACCTTTAGCTTAATACCGCTTTAACTACAGCACCAGCAGAGGCTGCATGCATCACACAGAACAAACTCAGTGGCCTCGAGTCAATACGAATTCATAGCAACCTTCTACTGAGTTTCTGACGCTGTAAATAGTAATGGGAGGAGACTGACTGCCCAGCTTTCTCCCAAGGACTGACTGGTGGTTTCGATCTGCCAGCCTTTTGCTTAGAACCTCAGCGGACTTCTGACTACATCCTACCCCACCCATGCGCCTTCTGTCACACACATCAGGTTTCTGAGGCTGTTTAGTACACAGGAAGAGACTGCCCATCTTTCTCCAGAGAAGCTGCTGGTAAAGTCGAACCTCCAGAGCAGCATGGCCTTTATGTTAGCACAACTCCCTGTAGTGGGCCAGCGTCTCTGTCGTGTACGCTAACCTCACACAGATGGCCCTGAAGCCGGTGGTAAACTCTCCCGAAGCCTGGCACTCGCTCTGAGGGGCAGCAGCCACCCCTGCAGGGGCCAGTGCACCCAGGTTCTGTGAGTCTCCATCCTGACAGCCCATTAGCGTCAACTGGGGAGCTTTTAAACCCCTCGGCAAGGCCCACGCCAGGCTGATTACCTCACCCTCTGGAGGCTGGCCAGACAGCGGTGTGTTTTAAAAGCTCCCTGGGGATGGATTACAACCTCGGCTGAGAACTACCATCTGGGCCGCTGGGGTCCCCCCATCAGCATCTCAAAGGTCTTAAGGCCTCTATTTTCCCCCCAAGGGAATGCGTCTGGTGAAGTGGTTAAAGAATACAGCTGCTTAGGGGGAAGTTAGTGGTTCAAATCTCCAAGCCGTTCTGAGGGGTAAAGGTGAGGCAGTCTGTTCCAGTTAGCTTTGGAAACCCCATGGGCAGTTCTCCTCTGCCCTCTCTCCTGTCCTTCACCCGCAGGGCCACTGTGAAGCAGAACTGACTTGAGGACAGTGGGTTTGATTAATTTCCCAGGTATTACCACCTATAGAAAGACGAAGCGCTCTGAGATTGTCAGGGAATGGGCTGTCACAGGAAGGGTGGTGCCTGCACCCCATCACCACATCCGGCAGAAGCTCCCACGAGGGGGACCTGCTGTCACTAACCGGTGCTGTTCAAACACACCTCCCCTGCACTCACCTCGCGGCCCTGGCCTCACCCAGTAACCATCTGCCCCCCCCAACCCCGTGCTCAGGTGCCTGGTACTTCTACCCCTACGGGCTGCAGATGGTCCAGCCGGCCGTGGTGTCCTGGTGGGCCGCAAAGGGCCGCAGCAGGCCGCAGGAGGGCTGGGTGCCCAACGACTCATCCCATTTCCAGGTGAGTATCTTGGTTTTGTGGGCACCCAAGACTCTAACAATTCATGGATGGTGAATTTCCTGCCTCTATTTGCAGTTGATCCCTCACCCAGCTTTAAAAGTTGAAAACTAGAAAAAAAGTTTAAAATTATATAACTCTTTATCCCCCTTATTGTAGTTCTTGGGCTTTGCACGCATCCTGTTGCATTTAATCTGCTGTCCATTTTTACCCATTTATTTATGAGGACATATATAAAGTACTGAAGAGCAATGGTGTCTCTCTGGAGACTAAGGTGCATCTGATACAGGCCATGGTCTTTGCTATCACTTGTCATGCATCAGAGAGTT